ATACAAGGTCTACATTGCTGCTGGGATCGGTGGACATTAGGACACCCTCAAGCTGAGTGTCAGGCTCATGCTGCCTTCATTGAAAAGCATCTGATCAGGAAAAATGTAGGGACTCTACTGCATATACATTCTGGTGTGGGAAGACCGCAGGTCCAATGTACTTGTCATGGGGAGAGAAGATGGTGCCTGCAGGAGCTGGATGAGGTTTCTCTCAGAGAGAAAGCATGATGGGTGAGAGGACCAGTAACTGTGGGTCATTTGAACCTTGTGAAGGGTGAAGAGGATTTGAATCAGAGAAGGTGGGTGGTCCTTACCGAGGCATAGGGAGAGATAAAAGCTCATAGTTCAATCACAAAGTAAGGCACAGAGAGTCAAATAGAGAAGGTGATCAGATTCATCAGTTAGTTGTCATGGGTGACCTGTATCCTGCTGCTTTGGATATAGCTAACAGTGCTTCTGGTACTCAGAACATGTGTGTGCATGGGATCCACAGGGAAATTGGAGAGAGGGCTGTGTCTGGATACTTACAGAATCATCTGGGGAACCACCAGTGTTTGTCCCTGCTGTCCATCACCATTCAGCTGGAGCCGCTTCACACGGCAGCAAAATTTAATATAGAAAGTGACCACCATGAGTTCCACATCTGTCTGGACAGCCAGGTGGTAAATATTTTGCTGGAACATTGGGCATAGAATATACTTTGAGGTGTGTACCCTTGTTTCTGGAAATCTGTGCATTATATATGTCAGTAACTCCTCTTCCTGAGTCTCATACAGACAATGGAGTAAACCCAGAGAGCGTTGTTTATCATATTCAGCTCCTGCTAAGATGTGACATTTCAGGGACAACCCTGTCTCATGAAGCAAATTGCAGGCAAAGATCTTCTGCATTTCCCTTACTCCTCTTATACTTGAAAGGCCAAATAGGAAGCGCACAGTGGGTGCCTCAAACAGGTCATATCTTCCATAGACTTCATTCAGTGTTTCCACAATTCTGTAGATATACACACAATCATATCTTAGCACATTATTCTCTAAGACATGGAACATTGCAGCAAAGAACTCCTGGAGATACAAGTGGGCAAAGCTGTAACTCAGAGATCCAAGCTGCTTTTGAAGGATGCCAATCTTCAGGAAAGTGGCAATGACACCATCAGCCAATCCTTGGATCCGAAAATCTCTCTCACTGAACAGGGTCCTTCTTCGGCAGATTCCCTCAGCAGCCAGTGAGCAGAGTGCTCTGAGCTGGTTCCCCAGGGCATAACCTGAGAGAGCCTGGGAAAGGTATTTCAGGTAGAGCTCTGTGGTGGTCTGTGAGGTCAGTGAGAGGTCTTCTCCCCGATCCATCTGCTGCTTCAGGCAGGTGCAGACCAGCCAGGACACCCAGGGTACCACACACAGTGTTGAGAGCTCTGGGTTTGATTTAATCAAGTTAAAAGCTGCCATTGCTTCTCTTTTCTCTGTGAAATATTTGTAGATGTATTTCTTCCGTCCAGACTTAGAGAAGCCCAGGACTTCCACCCAACGTGGCTGCCTCAAGGAAGGAATGAGCTTCTTCAAAACTTTGGTTCGAGCTGTGAGCAGCAAGGAAGCCTGAGGCAGGACAGATTTCCCCAGTAAACTGCCCAGCAGTGTGTGCACAGGTTGTGTCTGGCTCCAGTGCAGACAGAGCTCAGGATTCTTATCTTCCAAGACCCATGCTGGCTCATCTATGCCATCCAGGATGAAGAGCAGCTTCTCAGGGTGAGACAGGATCTCCTTGATGGGAGCTGCAGGCACAGTCTGGTCTTTTGCTATGAGCTCAGCCAGACTCAGCTGCTTGCACTGGGCTAGCTCCCTGCAGCTGAAGTAGAAGACATGCTGGAAGCGATCTCTGTAGAGCTGGCCTTCCTCCCATGTTCTCCTCACCTGCCTGGCCAGCGTTGACTTCCCGATGCCAGCCGCCCCCTCTAATACAACAAGTTGAGGCTCTTTCTGGGTATCTGGGCTTGGGCAAAATAAGTCTTGGATCTCAATCAGATGTCCTCTTTCGTCTCTTTTATATTTATGCCATATTTTCCAAAACAAGGTTTCCCAGCCTCTTGGGCAAGGTTTTTGTAGAAGTAGTAGCTGTGTGAAATTTTGCAGCAAATCATTTGTTTTCCAGGTCTGTGTGGGGTAAAAGTTTTCTATTCCTTTGCTTTGATGTATTTCTGAAATGTTTAATAAATAATGGAGAGAAAGATGGAGCATAAATGAATACATTAGAGTTATTTATTCTTTGATTTGTTCTTTCCTTCCTTTCTTCTTTCCACCCTTCAACAACTATGGCACTTCTCTAAGCTGTACAACATACTGGATACGGATTTTGGGTGTCAAGAATGTGAGCTTTAGAGCAGAAAAATCTAGTTCAGGTTTTCTCTTCAATAATAATAATAATAACAATGCTGTATGATATTCATTCATACTTCAGATATTTATTGATGTCTTACTCTGGACCAGACCTGCTCTTGAGGCTGAGTGTAAAGGGTGAGTTCACAGACACAACTCTTCATTCTGTCTGTGGGATCCAGTAGCTCCACTGAGCTCAGCTTTCCCATTTGTAATTTGGGGGCTATAGTCTCTCCTATAGGAGGCCATGGAATACTGGGGAGATTACAGACCGTGGAGCTAATGTCTGTTTTTGATATTATCCCATTGGCCCCCACCATTTTAGTACTGACAACATCATTCTGTAACTCCTGAGATTTTGGGTCTGATGGGATGGTCTTAGGATGCCTTAGAGTATATATGTTTCAGGACGTCGACTTGTTCCCTGTTTCTAGGTCTTGCAACTCCCAGCATATTTTCTATTGCCTTCCAGATTTGGTAACAACAAATCTTTTTTGTGACTACAGTTTGGATGTCTTTAGTTCCCACTGAAATTAGTGTCGAAACTAGTGTTGAAATTCATTTGCCGGTGTAGTAGTACCGAGACAAGGGTCCAGTGTAAGTGTTTGGAGTCATGGGGGTAGGCCCTTTAATAGTTAATCAATACTTTAGTTCTAAGAATTGGCAAGTTGTTGTAGGCAGGGGCTCCTTTTCTGTCCTGCAAGCACCTGGTTGCCTGCATACCTTTTTTCTTAAGCAGAGCACTCACAGTCTTTCTTCTTGGATTTCTAGACTCCAGAGTGTGGTTAGATATACAAATTCTAAAGAAAAAATCCTTTAGTTCATCATTCAGAAGACAGAAGAAGGAGAATCGGGAGCACAGGATCACCACTTTTATATGGTGAGCTTGGAAGCATCCTGGCCCACAATTAATTAGTCAGTCAATCAATTATACAAACAAATAAACAAAAAGAATAACAAAAGTTACCCAGTCTCTGTTTTCTATCTTGGCAATGGAAAACAAACTGACACATTTGCTCTTGATGTGACTGCTCCACCATGTGCACAGCACACTTTGCAGGTTTCCCTCATCTTGTCCTGCCCCCCCCCCCTTACTCCAACAAGTGCATCTGAGGATTCTTCTCTCCAATTTTGGACCTGACCACAAATCTCTTATCTGCATATTCTTTGTAAAGATCTGGAGATAAGACAGACAAAAATATGCCCCATGGACCAGAATTCAAGTTCATCCCTTAGCAATTACAGGTTTTTCAAAGTACAAGGCAGCTTGCTTTCCTGCCTTGAACAAGGTGCTGAAGAAAATTTGGTGAGAGCACAGAGTGCAGCATCAATTAGACCTTGAGAACCTGGCTTCTGGGGCCAACTTATCTCTGAAACCAGGATCTATAGATCTGCTCCCATTGTCTTCTGTAGGAAGACTTCTACCATCTCCTGAGTGCAGCAGGCTGCCCGCTCAGGACTGTGGTCAAAGTCTGCCTGGCTCAGGCCATGTTTGCCCCAGGTGCAAAGGGAAGGCTTGGTTCTTCCTAAGCCATGCCCGCCAAGACCTCCCAGCTGGGACGTATCTGTTACTATGCACACATCTAAGTCCTCTTCAGTTTTGTCACACTTTAAAATCACTTGGGGCAGCAAGTTAACGAGGTTGAAGAAAAAGCATTGGACTAGAATTTGGGTCCCCAGAACCCCTGTACATGCTGCACTTGCATTATGACCCCTGTTATTCCAGGTCAGAAAGTTGAGTCAAGGTATCCACAGAAAAGATGCCTAGCTAGACTTGCTCCACTGACAAACACTGGGCATGGATGAGAGCCTCTGCCTCAATGAATATGTGAAAGTAACTGAGGAAGATTCCAGATATCAATTTAGGGTACACACAAGCACATACAGTATAACCTCCATATATGTTTGTCCCAATACATACAAAGAGGCACACACATATGTATGCATATAATACATATGCATATAGAAAGAAGAAAAGTTCAATAAAATATCCACAGAAAATGGATCTAAATGGAAAATATCCTACTTAGTGAGGTAATCATTCCCAGAGAGAAATGTCATATTTTTCTGTCATATGTGGATCATATGACTTATGATCATATATTATGTATGTGATCCATATAGACTAGTATGCTTAATTTGTTAAAGTATCTTTTAAGCTAAATTTTGAGAATTTTCTGTCTATACCATATTTACATCATTTCCACCCTTCTTAGTCACCCCTGTTACTCCTCCTGTGTCCCCTCATTCCCTCTCAAATTCTCCTTTTCCTCTCTAATGATTGTTCCAGTCATACATAATACATACATACATACATATATACATATACATATATATTTGTGTGTGTATACATACGTATATGCATGCATACACCTTCTGCTGAGTCTATTTAATGTTACTCTTATATATTTAATGCTACTACTTGGGATCTGATAAGTTAAGAGGGACTCATCTCTGGAAAAGGCTGAGTTTTTGTTTCTCAGTAGACATTAATTATCTGTAAATTTTCATCTAGAGGTAGGACCATGTGAGTTTTATTTGGAAGGTTTCAAGAGGTCAGGAAACTATAATGAACCCAAGAGAAGGGGATGGGAAAGGCCTTAAGGGGTGCAGGCAGGTAGACACCTTGGGCTGTAAATTGTTTAAGTGAGGTGTAGAGACTGTGTTACATAGGAGAAGCTGGGTGAGGATGGTTAGACCAAACCAAAATATGTACGATAGGTCCTATGGAAACACACCACACTGAAGGTGTAAGTCACGAACAATGCCACACCAGTTTGGAATTATGATTAATAGGGTGGTATTTATTTAAAGAGGAAAAAACTTACAGATCACCATCCCAGACAACAGCCCTCTGAGCAACCAGGAAGGGAGTCTAGTCGCTGGCGGAGCAGGAAGTGAAGAGAGAGAGAGCAGAGGAAGTAGCCGCTTTTTTAAAGGGAGAGAAAGAGACCACGCCCCAATGGGCTGGTATCTCAGCAGCTATTGCTTGGAGGGGCAGAAGGACCTCCCACAACACCACACTAAGCTAACTAAAATATAAATTAAATAATGTAGGCTATTATGCAAGGGGTATACAATGCTTTCCTCCAAAGACATGAGTTGTTAAAATAAAATCCCAATGCCAACCGTCGAGTACCTCACTAAGGGTAATTGGTCAGAAGAATGCAGAGACTCCAGAACAACAAAGCCTGTTGCTATTGCTCTTATGAAGGTCTGTGGAAGAAACAGGTTCACTTCAGGATGAATTTGTTTTAGTAGCAGCATGGGATTGAGTTTATGGTGAACTGACTACCATTGCATAAGATCTTTTTTAATTTATTATACAATTTAAACCTTAGCAAGTCAATTTCCATGTACCAAAATCTCTTATCTGAATGTTGCCTAAGGAAACAAATCAAAGTAATTCTCAGTCACATGGCATCTTGGTTTTCAAAGCTCCCTCACAACCACGTTTTACAGAGGCTTTGAGCCCTTTAGGAAGAAATCAGATCCAATTCAAACCTTTCAAACAGAAGGTATCCATTAAGAAGTTTACAGTCACAAAAGGCAGTTCAAAGGCAATGTGCTAACATTCTGGAATTCAAGCCAGCTGTGATGCTCTGAGGGTTTTCCTCCTTTACTCTACCTAGTCCAGAGAAGTGTCTCTTTGTGGTGGGTAGTAAGTAATGTAAAGACTCAAAGCCAAAATGCTGCTTAAGCATCTGCTGAGTGTTGGGCTCTAAGTGGGATACCTAAATGGAGTCACCAAGGCTCAGGGAACATCACAAAAGAGGTGATGGACAGAATGAAAGAGCTGGAGGACGTGAAGGAGTGCTGTGAGATGTGTATTTCTGAATGTTAGATGGCTGTTGTGCTCCTGAACTCACTACTTCTATAGGTGCTTGTGTATAACTTGCACAAGACCAACACAACAAGATCAGTCATTATCCTACGAGGCAGCACCAATTGGACTGAGAGATTTTCAATACAACAACAAAAACCAAACAAATCAAACAGATTTGAATACAATGACAACAACAAAACAAACAAAGAGAGAATGAAAATGGGAGACAGTGGTTGGGAGTGTGCCCTGGAGGAGTGAGATGAAGGGATTTGGAAATGTATATGATCAAGCTACTGTGCTTAAAGGTATAAACTTGTCAAACAAATAAATAAAAATGTTATTTTAGACCTTCACAGAACCCCTCCACTCTGCTAACTCCACACCTCTTACCAGGGATGCTGATCTCCTTCTAGACCCTCTCCCTCTGCATGGGACCCATTTGATCCCCACAAACAACTTAAGTTACGCTGATGGTGTGGAGACATAGATATTCTACCTGTACTCTCTGGAGTACTACCTCCCCAACCTAATAAAACTGCAGTTGAGTTGCTTCCCAGGGACTATGGCATCCTCCTAGTACCTCTGTCTTCCTTTGGGACTCACTAGATCACAGATCCTTCTAGACCAGGTACCCTCTAGCCAGTTATGTGGCACAGAGAAACAGATATGCTACATGTTGTTATGAAATATTATTTAAGGCTGTGTTACATTTGTTCGTGCTGTGGAACATTTGTTTTAATGATCCAAAGATCTTTGCATTCTTTTATGCTGCATTTGTTTAACTTTGTGAAGCTGTGTTTATTTGCATTTCTAAAACATTTAATTGGTCTGATAAAGAGCTCAATGGCCAATAGTGAGGCAGGAGAAACAATAGGCAGGCCTGACAGGAAGAGAGAATAAATAGGAGTTGAAATCTGGGAGAGAAGACCTGAAGAGTAAGAGATGGAGGTGGACTCAGAAGACCAGCCACACAGCTACACAGCCAACAATATGGTAAGAAAGAAAGATATACAAAAATAGGAAAAGAATTAAACGGAGAGAAACTCAAAGCCATCCCACTAAACTCAGGAACATGACAAGGCTGCCCACTCTCGCCATACCTCTTCAACATAGTGCTTGAAGTTCTAGCAATAGCAATAAGACAACATAAGGGGATCAAGGGGATTTGACTTGGAAAGGAAGAAGTTAAACTTTCGTTATTTGCAGATGATATGATAGTGTACATAAGTGACCCTCAAAACTCCACCAAGAAACTTTTACAGCTGATAAATACCTTTAGTAATGTGGCAGGATACAAGATCAACTCCAAAAAATCAGTCGCCCTCTTATACACAAAGGATATGGAAGCAGAGAGGGAAATCAGAGAAGCTTCACCTTTCACAATAGCCACAAACAGCATAAAATATCTCGGGGTAACTCTAACCAAGGAAGTAAAAGATCTATTTGACAAGAACTTTAAAGCATTGAAGAAAGAAATTGATGAGGATATCAGAAAATGGAAGGACCTCCCTTGCTCTTGGATTGGGAGGATCAACATAGTAAAAATGGCAATTCTACCAAAGGCAATTTATAGATTCAATGCAATTCCTATCAAGGTCCCATCAAAATTCTTCACGGATCTTGAGAGGACAATAATCAATTTTATATGGAAAAATAAAAAACCCAGGATAGCCAAAACAATCCTATACAATAAAGGATCTTCTGGAGGCATTACCATCCCTGACTTCAAACTCTATCACAGAGCTACAGTAATGAAAACAGTGTGGTATTGGCATAAAAACAGAGAAGT